TATAAAACTCGATGCGGTTTGCGGTCGTTGTTCTTTGCTGTTGCGTCTACACACTGGAGGCCGGTTCAGTACACTATGAGTATGGCCAGCCACTGGGATTTTTGTTTTTTACTTGAATAAAGTAGGTGCCAGCTCTCATATCTATTTCATCTTTTGCGTAAAGTTATTCTTCTTGGCGGCTTTAACTTTTGCAGGTATGCCAGTCTTGCAAGACATTCAATTCTACCTAGTCAATGACATCGTCTCTCAGGCTAAACAATTGCTGCAACACCTCGTCCGATTTCGCTCTCAATGCCGAGTGATACATGACGTTCGTCTCAAAAGTCTTTGTACCCTTGACAAGCTTGGCTGTGTCTCTTGCAAAGTTATAGTCGACGTACATATCCTCAACGAACGAGGCGGCATATACAGGAACTTTATTCTTTTGAAGCTTCTCTTGATCGTAAAGAGCGGGCCAGTTATCACGACTGGCCAATAACTCAGCCTCTTGGCGAAGTATCTGGAGCTCTGGGTAAGTTTCGAAGTGAAATGGGAAAATCATTTCTCCAGAGAAGTAGAGGCATCCGCTGGTAGATTCCGTTGAGTAGTTGTCATCCAGCCAGGAGAATGGCTTGAGTTCTTTTCCAATGCGATTCGCTGACCAGGCGGAGGCTAAACCAGGGCCGTCGCAATATATGGCCTCATGAAGGATGGCGTATATGATGTTGGTATCAAATGGGTTCCAGCCCTCAAGTGGTACTAGGGATGCTCTGTTGAAAAACCCAAACTGATCGAGGGATGCTTTTAAAGTCAGGATCATAGAGTGAACCTGGTCGAAGCCACCATGGCTTCCAAAGGAAATGCCTATGGTCAGGAGACGAGGAACGGTGAGGACACCGCCAGATGGCAATGGAATACTGCCACCTTTACTCTCTATGAACTTGGCCACTTGACGGACGTTTTCGACGTCCTCTGGGAATTTTTCGTAGTACTGCTCGTTGCGCTGTATGACCCGTTGGAATGTTGCTTCATATACTTGGTCAGGCTTCTTACCCACAGGGGCTAGACCGCCAGTGAGAAAGACCTCCCGAAGACCTTCTGGGTGCATGGACAAATAGGATAGTGAGATGAAGCCTCCGTACGACTGGCCAAAGATGGACCATGGTTGTTTGGCAGCGGGCCATGAGGCGGTAAGATACTTCCTTACAGCTTCGCAGTCCCGGACTGTGTTGTCCTGGCGCATGAGGCCGAGGTACCGAGTACGCCCTTCAACGTCTCCGGATACAAGGCTTAGCATATCAGCACCAACTGGTGTACTCAGGCCAACGCCGCGATGGTCAAGTAAGAGAAGCTGGTATCCCTTTGCAAGAGCGTGGCGGGTGAGGGGATGGTCCTGCGGTTCACGGTTGCCAAAGCCCGGTCCTCCCTCAAGATAGACCATATATGGTTTTGGGGGCTCGCCAAATTCGTCTTTTGGGCTGTTCTCTGACTCCTCATCATCGGGTGGGAATATGGGAACATCGTGTTTCTTGACAGCACGAGCGAATAGTGTGATGGAAGGGCCCTGGATGTCCGTGTAGTCGAGGGGTACTTTGAAGAAGAGCTCCGTAACACATAATTGCCCAGGCAGCACGTGAGATTTCCTGCTGGCCAGTTCGGCTTGGGGGATGGACAAGCTATCAGGCGTAGACATGGTGACTCGTGTTACAATAGCAGGGCGTGATAGTGATGGTGTTTTAGTGATGGCGGGGTCGGCGGGTAAGATGTTGAATGCGAAACCACCTACCTACCTCTTACCTACTCTGGTAGGTAGGTGAATCGATAGGCAGTCTTAAATAGAGCATAACTTAGACTCTTTCTACAGATAGCACTGGCTTATGTTGGCTTAGCCCTATTGTTATATTCTGTAGATAAGTTCAAATTTCGTTTACTATGTCACAAAGTTTTCGAGCTGTGTCCATGTTGATAAGGCAGAATACGTGCACCATTTCGTGGACTTTTCCTGGTTGATGATTATGCTCAAACCCAACACGTATATATAACCCCTGAGGTATTGTAGTTAATCAACTAATAAGATTGTTAGGATAATAACAGAGACAATAAGACCCGGTCGCCCAGATAATATAGTTTATCTATTATTACCTGACTTGAGGAATTTATCACAACGGTCAAAGACATCTACAGGGTAGGTAGGTAGCTTTGGCTTCTGGTCCTAGGTACCTATGTATTAGCATTGTCTCGGTCTGTTCTTCACCTCCACTCCATAATCCGCTCTAGAGGGACCGGGCTTCGCGCTATGTACCCAGACAAGGAAGCACCTACTGCCAGCACATAGTGCGTCAGACCACAATATATATGTATAGGTTTCTAAGGTCGGTAGGTAGAAATGGCCTAAGAACCTCTAACGTGGAGCCAATAGAGCCTCATCGTCATGTCCCGGCCCTCTTGCGAATCACGAACTTTCCGCTCCGAAGTGGCTCGGCTGTAAATTATTGAATTCGTCCTGTTCCCCAGAAGCAACAACACTGTCACCCACTGGAAGGATGGAAGGACCCTAAATTTTAGCTGCCACCTAGCCTACCGTACCCGCTGTTGCATATAAACAGGCCAATCAGTGCCATTATATCTCCACTTTGTTGCCGTCTTGCTCTGGCAACAGCACTCCTGTCGGGATCTAGCAAATCTCTTCCTCTTTCTTCCCCATCTAATAAATATTTCATCACCTCTTCTTCTTTTCAACTTTCTTCTTCTTCCTCTTTTTCTCTATCGCACTCACTCACAGCCAAGGGCATGGCATATCTTCATCTTGCGCACACGTTGGCAGATGCTTTCAACGCCCTTGCTGATGAAGTCCAGACCTTGACAGATCGAAAGACCGTCTTGGAGCACAAGCTTCGCTTTGCTCATGAACAGGTAAGAAGAAATATTTTCTACCCCACGCAGTAGTTCCAAGCCTCGAACCCGGCTTTTCCCAATACCTGTCTACGTATCCTGGCTGCGCAATGTCCTGGGATTGTTTCGGCGATACCGGAGCTGTCGGCTTCTTCCCCCTTACCAAGTCAGCATGATGAATACCATTAGCTCTAGATCAAGAGCATCAGGATGAATGACCCTGTTGCCGAGATTGATAACATATTTTTCTGATATCTGACCTATCAACATCTTCCTCCTCTATCGTCTGCAATGGACTCATCGCTGACTCGAAACCAAAAACAGTTCCAGTATCTGGCTGACAAATATGCTCCAGCCGCGCCAGAAATAGCTGATACCCTGGCCAAGCTCCAGATACCTCCGTATACATCTGTTGATAATTCATTGCCTGTTCCTCTTCCACGCGCGTACAGCTCCGGTTCCCAGCACCAGCTTGCCCTCGTCATCCGTGACGGACGCCGAGTAGCTAATCAGCTTGCCTCGCTGGGCGAAACGAGTAAAACCACTGGCACTGGCTCCAGCAGAGAGACCGAGTCGCAACCTTCCCACGTAGCCACTTCCATGTCGACGGCGCTAGAACAAGACTTCACGGTCCAAGGAAAGAAGGGCCATCTTCAATGCCCGTTCTCCAAGCCTGCCACGGCTAGCGCCTCTGGGGCCCGCGACGAAGATGCACAGGACACAACTCCACATCATTCGACGGACCCTATCTGCGCAGCCATGTACGAAGAATCTACTTCTCAGCAAGCCCGCACAAACACAAACGGCTCATCAGCTGTCAAGTGTCCCATTCGTTACATGGACAAACACTCTGCTGAGGAGATCGCCCACTATGTTGAGACGCACAAACATGAACTCCCCCGAAGCCATGAAGTTTGCCTCCGCCGGTACCAACGTGACGAAGATCAAATCAAGAAGATAGATTCCAAGTATGGCGATATAGTGAGCATGATTGAAGGACTGGGTCAGCTTCACCAACCTATGCTACCCGAGGCTGAACAGGATCCAAATCGACCAAATGACGTGGCCCAGCCATCTAATGAAAGAGTTGAGAACTGGGCACAAGCTGTTAGTGTAAATTCGGACCCGGATAATACACAGGTGCCGACTCTGGAGGATGGAGACCGGCAGAGTCATTTCGATCGGCCCCTAAAGGAAGTACGTGTTGGAGAATCGCCCAGTCGGCCTTGGGGAATATCTATTCCAGTCTACGACCTCTCAGGCCAAGGCGACGACCAACCTCTCTCACCACCACCAGCGCCTGTCTGCATGCCGATTTCCGCGCAAGCTGCAACCAGTGCCCAAGAATCAATAAAGAAGACGCCAGGCAAATGTCCATTTGATCATACAAAATTGGCTGCCATGGGTGTGCCCTCACCATTCAAACATGACGCCCCCCCGCAAGTACCAGAACACACGGTTTCATCCTCACCTCATAAGGAGGGCGGACCCCCTCCACCCCCTCCACATCAACATCAATACCAATACCAACATCAACATACGGCACCTCCTCAGCCTGCCTTCATCAACCCTGATATGACCAAAGGGACAAACGACGGACCTCAAATGATCTTCACTGGGCCTGTTTTCATTGGGTATCCAATGAATCAGGCTATACAATTTATGAACCAATATAGGGGGAACCAGTAATTCCCATAATGGTAGTGTTTCACTTTTCAGTTATAGCATTGGGATGAGAGTGCATAAGCGACGGCGTTGGCGAATTCGATTTTATGGGATGCAAGCGATGGTATTACGAAAGTCTTTGTAAAATCTTATTTCAACACATACTGATCGGGCGGACGTAGCAGCCGCAAGTTGCAATTGATTACATGTTTCGATTGTGGCTTAAGCGCATTCAACGATGGCTCTGATGGTTTTGAAAAAGCAGTTGATTCAAACACATCATCGTCCTCTATGATCCCAACCGCAACCGAATACATATAGTGATGCCCAAAACGCCGTCTAGGCCATTTAAAGATGTGCAGTCAGTATAACCGAGCCGTGCCCAATATCCATACTTTTAGTATTGAATAATCTTGTCGTTGCTATCCCCAATTTGAGTCGAGCCTCCCGTTAAAAATGTGAGTTCATACCCTTCGGTCCCTCCTCTTATTGGTGTTTCCCTCATCCTCTTCATCATCATCATCATCATCATCGTGATATCTGCTGTCTGTACCATCTCTACCCCACAGTGAAATATCATCGTCCGACATTAACACGGCTGCATCTTCAGGATCCATGAGCATTGTGTTTCCAGAGTCTGCATAGCCGGCCTCGCCCTCTTCAGCTGATAGATCTGTAGGCTCAAGGCCTTCTTGACGCGCGAGCTCTTCGGCACGAGCCATAGTACGACGGTAAATGATAAGCCCAACAATAAGACCGACGGCAGCACCCAAAATCATGCTTAAATAATTAATGGCTTTGCTACCAGCGGACATTTTATCGCCCTTCTCAGCTAGCAGAGCAAGACGACTGCCGATGAAAACGTGGACGAGCAGTTTGGGGCTAAAATCATATTGGCATCAGCGATCAGGACCGGGCAAATACCAGTCATTAGTGAACATACCTTGACAATGCTGTGGAAATGGTAAACGCCAGAGGTGTAATGCTGGGAATAGTGGCGAGGAAGCCATTGCTCAGACTGAATGGAAGTGGACAGAATCGGATAGCCGTAAGATACCAAATTCCCTCCTGGCGCAACACTTGACCAAGAGCGACAAAGCGATGATCCCGACCAACCATGCGATCAACATAGCTGCTTAAAACAGTTCTGCTCGCGAGGAACGCACAAAGAGCACCAGCCGTACATCCGGATGCAACAATGGGCCAGCCTAAGGGAAACCCATACACAAAACCCGCGATTGTGCTCGCGGTCGAGTATCCAACAATCGGAGGGAACGAAGTGACGAAGACCAGCAGAAAGGCCAGAGTCCAACCTCCTGGAAGAGCGCGCCACTGCTCGGCCTTTGGCTCAAGCCATTTGAAGAAGACATGCGAGTAGATAATAGCCAGAATGCCAAGCACGCCCGCTGCGACAACGCCTACAAGGGCAAGAATCCTCTGGAAAGGTGACAGGCGCAGATACACCTTCAGAACCTGCTCACCAAGCAAATTGACGGTACCCCATATGCGGCGCACAAAGCTCGTCTTACCACCGCCAGTATAGCTAGTGCTCGCGCGGCGACGATTCATCAGCGGGTTCGATAAACGGCGGCTCGAGGACGTCGTAGACCAGGGAGGACGGCTTGGCGAGGGAGATGAGCCACGGTCTGGAGACAGGGCGAGAGCCTGGGCGGTTGAGTTGTAATCCGCAGGCATATTTAATAAAAAGATCTTGGGTTTCGATTGACTGAGTAGGAGTAGGAGTTGAATTCTGACGGGGGCTATGTGGCCATGACTGTGTATTGGGTTTCGATATAGGTGAGATTCGGAACGCGCGGATGGAAATGAGGTTATAGTGTGAGATTGGGGACCTTGAGGATAGGGTCAGGGTGGCTTTCTGGCGGTATAGAAGATCAGAGGTCCGGCTTTACCAGTCAACAACAATCGTGTTTTCGCATTCGATATCGCTCGAAGAAGATCTAATGGTGATGTAGAGCTGTCGACATCGTTTCATTGGGGCTGCACCAAAGTTACATGACGTTTCTAGTCTAAGCGAATCTGGAGCGGAAGTGCCCCGCTAAGCATGGCGCTAATCCTATCCTGCCAAACACATGGGCTTGTATATATCAGAAAGTAGGTAGGTATCAAAGTCAAGCTCAGGTAAGGTGGTGACTAAATCGACAGGTATCACATGCAACTTTCAACACATTGGCTTATAGAACGGAGTCTGATTTTACTGCTTTCTTCTATTATGTCCCGTGTTGTCATCGACGGCCGCTGGGCCCCTTGGGTGGATCACGCACCAGGAGTCTGACTTTGCCGTCGCCAATCTCGACGCCTTGACTTAGTATGTCCACCTCTTCTTTACCATCTGAGTCGCCCTCCTTGGCGAGAGACTTGTCCCAGCTACGAGCATCGATTCCCAGAATACCACCCATATTATTGCGGTCTCCAGGAACAGAGAACTCCCGGTAAGCATACCTCCACTCGTTAAGAAAGTTCCGGATCGCCCTGCCAACCTTATCCTTTCCGTTCTTACTGTGGTGTCCGGAGCCGGTGATGGCATAAATGGGTTGCGACTCCCTACCGTTTTCCATCAAAACCTTTTCGAGGTACTCGACAGCTTCTTCTGGGTGAAGACCGTGAAGATCGATGTACAATTCCAAATCACGGGAGTTGCCCTTGTTACGTTCCTCGTATAGTTCTTTTGCAGCCTCGCGATGAGCTTTGCGCATAAGATCGTTCTCGCTTTGTCCCCGCAGGCTGAGAGCTTTAGCCGCCCTAGCGTCATTGCGATTCCATGCTTGCGCAGCACTGTGACAGCCAGTCAGCACACGGAAAACCCCCAATCTTGACTGCGAGAACACACACCTTTGAAGAAACTTATTACGAAGGCCGCCGTGCTTAATGGCCTCCTGGCGAGCCTTCAAATATGCCTTGTTAGCACGCTCACCGGTCTCCAGCCACGGGATATGCTTGGGACTGGGAATGGCCTGAGCTCCAGCGCTGTTTTCCCCATTTCGTGCAACTGTCGAGCTTCCATTGCGCCCCAGCCCTCTCTTGAGTTCGGGACGGACAGGGATGGGCGAGGGAGACATCTTGACAATATCAGCCAGAGAATTAGGCGCGTTATTCTCCTTGTGCGAATGTCCATGGCCACCTCGCTTGCCATGATGCTTCTTGCCTTGCTTGATAGATGCAGAACCAAGTGAAGGGAAGGCATCGTTGTCATCTAGAGCAGGGGCGGAGATATCTGGCTCTCTGGTCTGATGTCGACTGCTAGGGCGAGATCGAGCACGGGGACTGGAAGTTCCCTGGAAATGCTTCAAGCCTGGTGGTGGCGTAATGCCCACAGCAGGGAAACTGTTGCTGCCAGCGAAACCACTTAGATGATCGGGGGTTCCAGGTCTTAGAGAAGGAAAAGAGTTAAGATCTCCAAGCTGTAAACCGCCGTGCTTTGATGGTGGCGTACTGGCCCCGTCAAGGGCGAGCTTATTCATAAGTTTGGTAGGATCATGCGAGAAAATGCATGTCTCTCCTGCCAAGCAATTCCCCATGACCCAATATCTGCAAGAAATTTTTTAGCTTACAATACGGAGAGACTCGCACGAAAACATACTTGCAAAGGTGGTTGCTGAGATCATGGCTAAATCGGCAATCGGCGCGCAAGCACGAACCAGTCGACATATAGAACTTGCAAATAACCCCCGACTTCGATTGACCTAGGGGAGTAGTAGGGCGATCCACGGATTTCCCAATCAGGACGTTTTTGGGTTCTTCCAATGAAACACCGCCGGGCTGGTTGTCACCTGCTTGGCTTTCCATAAAGGAGACAATAGTTGCGCTGAGATCATAACCATTCTGCGCAAGAGCGGCTTCAATCTCATCATCGGATTTTGTCTGCCCAAGGATGGAACGCAACATATCATATGGCGACATATCAGCTGACTGTGCCGACATGGACGAGAACTCGGGGGCTGCTGCGTTGAGAGCACTCGGAGTACCGACAGATGAAGTCACGCTAGCGGCATCATCACTGACGAGCCACTCAACATTTTCCGTCTGGTATTCACCTAGAATCTCTGTGGCCGGGGTCGGGTCGCTAGCAAATTCGTATGCATTCAAGTTTGGACTATGAGGAATGACAGGTGTCGCAAGAGCCAGACGTGGCGATGCTCGAGGCGAAGAAAAGGGAGAAACCGTAGAGGAGATTGTCCTGCCAAAGGTCGAGGGAACAAAGCCCGGGGGAGCAAGGGGGCTCACGGCCAGTCTTGGAGAGCCCGACATGGGAGTTGGCGAACCGCGCCAGGAGGCGGGTGAAGGGCGTCGTAAGATCGTCTGTCTGATGGGAGGGGGTGACACTGATGTGCCGCCGCCGTCACGAAACCGCCAAAGAGCATCTAGTATTGCGTTGTCGAGGGAAGTGCCGGTGAGGCTCGTTTCTTTGCGGAAGAGCTCCTCGAGTCTATCTGTCTTATCCTCGTCTTCCAGGGTTGCATCCTGCAAGATGGGCAAGCACATCTCGAAGTGCTCGTCGGAAACCATGATGCCGGCTTGTTTTATTCAATGCGGTTCGAACAGAAAGGGGTCGAAGCTATGGACAGGTTTCTCAGAGCAAATCGAGGCTCACAATAGCGGAACAGGGGTCTCTTAAGCTGATGTGGAGCTGATGCGAAGCGCAGCGGCATCTGGAATCGTGCTTCGAGCTTTTACAGTGGTGTTCTGCGAGAAGAACAAGAAGATGCAGAGGCTGGATAGTCTTCAGTTAGCCTTGCTACGTGTAGATGATATAAGAGGTAAGGCAGAGAAGCTGAAGAACGGACAGATAGCGGAGAGTTGGACATAGAGTCCAGTTCTAGGCCAGATGGCGACGGGGGTTAGCAAATGGAACTTACAGATTAAAAGATATGGCAAGAAAAGCAGACAGACGAGAATAGGAATCAAGAATAAGAACGCAGAGGAGACGAAATAAAAGGGAAACTGAAATTGACAGTGAAGGCGAAAACAAAGAGAAGCGCAAGCGCATTCAAGCAAAAGATTAATTAGGTACAACGGTGAAAAGGAGGAGGAGAGGATGGGAGATGATGCAGTGTTAGGGACAGCTTTGGACTAGTCCAATCACTAAGGTAATAGAAAGGTGGAGGGCGGACGGGAAGCCGAGTGGAGAGTACACGGCCCCCGGGAAGCCTTCAGGGAGACGAGATGCTAAGCTGTAGAGGGTTGGTGAATCAACTACAGTGGCTAAGTACCTCCATAGGCTAGGGTGGCAGGTTGAGGAAAGTTCCAGTGGAGGTTACCATCCAATACATTAGCAGGTAGGAGGCAGGTAGGTAAGTACAGTAAGGTAGTATGGGGATGGAGTGGAGGTGCAGCCCATCTTCATTGCAAGTGTTCATTTATTGATTAATAAGTTAGGGGGAAAGTGATTCAGATCGTGTTTCGGAATTGCAAGACGTTGGGTCTGTTAGGAGAGACATCCAGGCGTGCATTAGCTGATTGGTGCCTACCTAGGCACCTTGGGTACTATGTATCCGTTAGTTAACAACTGGCAGCCCGAACAGAATTGAGGCAAATGTGAGATATTGGCCTCTGGTTACTTGCATAAAGCCAATAAAGGTTGAATGAATAGAGACTGAAGACAATTTGGCACTTTCAGTATAAAACAATTACCATTGTCCTAATTTTAAGTTATTGTTTTAATATAAGTTGCCTTACTTTTAGCGGGGCATGTATTCAGCCAAGCTAGCCCAGGCATCACGTATTCGACAATGACTGTCTGCTTTCACGTTTATCGCTGGTGATCAAATAAAGGCATTCTTAGTTGATATGTCAAATCATGCGGCATTTCTCTTCTCTCTCTCTCTCTCTCTCTCTCTCTCTCTCTCTTTCTTTCTTTTTGTTTTGGCCACGACAGACACGATAAATTCGACTCCTAGTACGGGAAGAGGTACTAGAACACAAATCTCAGGGACAAAGGACTTCTCCTTTCTTCCGTTTTGGCAAGGTCATGTCACTACCTAGGAGTAGGTAGTTACATCTTAGTAGTGTTTTCGAAGACAAAAGAAACTTTCACATGCCCTAATTGAGTGATTCTACGGCTGAGTAAGAGTCTAATCGTAACAACAAGTATAGAAGTTTCAGTTCTAATGAATAGCACATTCTGTCTGTCTCTCAGGCGTCACATTCATGCAAGATACCTAGAACTAATCATTGTACAGAGCGTCGCTCACTATTTGACTGCCAATTGCCTAATTGCATCAACCTAATAGTGGCAACTCTGGTGATTACTCGATGGTTGCCGAGCGTATCACAGCTTCTGATGTTATAACTTGCAGGATGGGGGCGGGCTTGCTTCTGCTAACTCCCCCATATTTCTCTACTACCTAAGAAAGGAGCCATAAATCGCTAACTTGGATTGAAATGCAAGGGTAGAAATGGGGAGTCTTTCTAGGGTATTTCAACATCATCGCCATCGCCGCCGAAACCAAAACTGAAACCGTCACCTCCTTCCTGCCCTTGGTTATGGTCTATTCCACCAACAGCAGCATCCCATTTACGCTTTTTGCAGCTCTTCGTATCGGCCAGGTCCAGGGCTTTGCGTAGAACTTCTGGATAGCTACTCTTCATTCTCTCCAAGAAGAGTTGATAAGGGTCCGCCACTTGATCATCGAATCCACTGACCTGGTCAGCCTTGTCCCGCAAGAAGGAAACAACTT